TGCCCTAGGCAGTTGGAGCCTCTCAGTGCTGGAAAGTTCCTCTCAGACTTGGCTGAGTGGCTGGCTTCCCCACCCTCCTCTTGTGTCTCACTGATGACCTCCAGCTTGGCTTTCTTCCCCACCCTCCAACTGTGGCCTCACTGGTGACCTCTAGCAAACACCCCAGGAAGAACAACACCCTGCTTCAGCAACTGCTTCCAGCACAGAAGAAAGTTAAACCAGCCAAAGTCTGATAAATACGCTTCAATATGTAAATCACCAGGAATTTCACTCGTGCACTCACATTCCAATCCTATGCTAAAAGATCGTCTGCAGAGATGCTGCAGGATGACACAAGGTGCGTTTATGCCAAAGAAGCAAAAATCAAGGCTTATCAGGCCACAAGAGTGGGGAAAAGATTATATGATCATCCAGGCTGATGTAGGAAAAGCATCCTTAAAATGTCTACTTCCATTTACTAAGAAGAACAGAAAACTAGACACTGGGAATGAGAGGGACTTCTTCAACCTGACAGAGTGATTTACCACAAACCTAGAGTCAAACTATATTTAGTCTTCAAATTAGAACAGCTCCTGCACTGCCCCAGCAAGAGGCACAATGCCCATAGACACTTTAATTCACCACACTGAAGTCTTAGGAGGAACAAGAGAATTAGAAAGAAAGAGATGAAATTGCTCATTGTATCTTCTACCATTGTATATGCCATGCTTTCTAAAGAATCTACTAGGGCAGTTTTTAATTAGTAAGAGGTTTGGCAAATATTTCTGGATGCAAAATTAATTTGCAAAATGCAAATGTAGTTCCCTAACAAGAAACTAACAGAACTTTAATTTAAAATATATAAATGTCCAACAAATACAACAGCCTCAAACTATCAAGTACCTGGGAATATAGCTAACAAAAGATGTATTGAGTCATCAGGAGAAAATTAAGAACTCACACTATGAGCTGTTAAAAACGGTTACCGAAACCCTCCATTGAAAAGAGGTACAATGTTCATGGAAGACTAAACACTACACCTTCTGTCCTCTAGAGGGCAACAGAGGGCTTGGCAGTAACAACTGGGACTTGGAAATTGGAGTAACCTGTGTCCTCTTCCACCAGGGGCAATGCTCTGGGGGGAGCTGGGGAGCTTTGGATGGAAGGTCCAGCCAGCCCTGAGTCACAGCAGGATATCAACATGGGATTCCTGTAAGAAGTTACTCAGTGGCAGCGACCCACCCAAGGAGACCTATTGGAGGCAGAAGCAGGGGTGCTGTGGCCCATTGCCTAGTACCTCCTGTTTATCGCCACTGCTGCCAGCCACAGCGCAGAAGGACCCGAGGTTCCATTTCATATTGCTTTTAGACTCTGGCTTTGGTGTGTATTAATCATGTTTGTAGAAATCACTAAGATCATTTACACTGTTGCGTCAACCTCGGTTTCCTCACCTGTAAAGCAAGGACAGGGATTCCTGCCTCAGCGTCAGAAGGAAACGGACGTGAAAACACTCTTGTAGTGCTAGCTAAATACAGGACCTTCTTCTGGCTAGTACTATTGCTTCTTTGTAGTTCGGGGGTCAGAGACTAATGTTCTGTTTCTTAGCCTGGACAACAGTGTCCTCCCTTCTGTCCATCTATCTGTCATCAAAGGCATCACAGAGTCCTTACTCTGGTCATAACATTTCTTCGATCAATTCTCATAGCAACCCCTAGGGAAGGTGTTGTTCTATCTGGCTCCGTTCTACAGATGGGAAAGTCAAGGTTCAGTTCTTCACCAGGCATCCGTAGGTGCCTTTCGTGGAACGGGGGTACTTACCAAGACGGACACAGTCCCTGCTCTACAAGAGTCATCCTCTAGTTGGGAACCCATCCAAACCTCACTAACAAACTGGAAGAAGAGCCCACATCCAAACTCAGCTCCACTGGACACCAGCGGCTACACTTTGAACTCATCCCCGGAACTGCTATCATCTCCCCACTTCCACTCCTCATCTTTAACGGTACAGTGGTTGCTAACACACATTCTTCTCGCAGCAACAAGGTGCAAGAGCCCCTCCCTCACCATGCAAGCAAGCCACTGGGGCCAAGCGAGAGCTGTCTGCTTCAGTCCGTGTGATCCTCCTGCAGGATCATCAGAGAATTACCGTGGGGTTGATGAGTGCATAAAAGAGGGGAGGCATCCTCCAGCCCCCACCCTGGACAGCATCAGCAGCATTGTTTCCTGAGAGAGAGCCACTGAGTCTTCTGCCACCGTTAATGGCAGAAGTGAGTCACTTATAAGATACAGCTTTGTTATAATTACCTCCTGAGATTCAGCAATGCTCCGAGTCACCGTGAAAGAGAGGGCAGCGGGTGACTGGGGCTTGAAGGATCCTCTGCCAGGTACGGCTTTCAGACAAAGCATCTTGGATCAGGAGCAATTATAGCTAATGCCCAGTCTGAATGCTAATGAGAATTATTTACAATTGCATGTAATTCTTTGCCATTTATACACTCAGCTGGTTTTTCTTTTCTTTTCTTTGCCTGTCTATCTCTGAGTTAAATCTGAGGAACAGGATTACTGGTAGTAAGGAAGATTCATGGCCATTTCACAGATGAGAATACTGGAGTCCATGGTCATTTGGTTCTCAGGGACAGAAATGGGTTTCAACCATGTGTGTCCTTGCCTGGGAGAGGGCCTGCAGACCTCTGAAGGCACTCTCCTTGATCAGAAGGCATGCAGCAGCATCACCACAGCCAGCTGCACACTCTCAGAGGCAGTGGCTGGTGTCCTCTGTTGGGACAGCTGTGTGTCCTCTGTTGGGACAGCTGTGGGCAGATCTTGTGAAACAGACCTCACGCATGCCCTTTAACCCTGTAATTGTCAAGAGACTCTTGCCTCTCCATGGGGAACCCAAGCAATGACCACAGGGTTCAAATCCAGGCTGAGAGACAGGAAACACCTTCTTCGGCCCTCCAACTGGAGACTCCCCAAGTCCCTCCTAGCCTGGCCACTTCCTTTTAGAAAACATCTGCTTGAAAACTACCCTGGATCCAAACCACGCAAGAGCATAAAGTTCAAGCTGCAAGGTGAAAGCGACAGGCCCGGGGATGCGGCGACAAGGGCAGCAATACCTGGGGCTTCCCTAGGACCTGGCGCAGGGCTGGCTGGGCGAGGAGTCTTCTGCCTGTTAGAGGCTGAGGAGGACTTTTGAGGCAGGCAGCCTCTAACTAGATTGGCCCCATTTTGCAGGTGAGAAAGCAGGGGTAGGGGGTGGGGATCTAGAGATGTAGCTCAGTGGTCCAGTGTTTGCCTAGCATGAACAAGGCTCTTGTTAATGTTAATAAAAATCAAAGCATCAAGCATCCCAGTGGCCAGGAGCTCACAGGCTTGCTGTGCTGAGGCCGCCAGAGCGTCAGAGTGACAACAGCCGCACTTACATGGCACTCTGGTAAATTACAAGGCACCGTTACAGTGCCTTGTCAACGTGAACACAGTTAATTCTCTCACCAGCCCAGGGAGGAAGGAACCATGAATACCTCCATTCAAAAAGTGGGAAATGGAAAGAGGTAAAGCAGCTTGTGACAGCACATGAGAGACAGCATGGTGACCGGACCCAGAAATGCACCTACGACCTCTCTGCCATGCCTTAGTACTGAGGGAAAACCACTGTGTTTCTGCCAGGCACTCCTTGACTATAGAAAGGAAGGTGTGCAGGTGAGAAATTCACATACAAAATACCTCCTCACCACACTCAAATCAGGGCTGGGGACTCCTTCCAAGCCAGGACTGCCCAGGACTGTTCTGAGGGTGGAGGGTGCTAGGGACCCTGGCAGGCAGCTCTGGGCTCTGCACAGCTCTGAAGTTATAGATGGGTGGTACCCAGCTACCTGCTGGCTCTTCAGGTCTTTGTCATATTTGAAAACAGCATCAGGCAAACCCTGTACTTCACCAGGGGCAATGTTCTGGGGGCAGCTAGGTGGCCATGGACTGAAGGTCCAGCAAGCCCCAAGTCACAGCACGATATCAACATGGGTGAGCAGGGATTCCTGTAAGAAGTTACTCAGTGGCAGCGACCCACCCAAAGAGACCTGTTGGAGGCAGAAGCAGGGGTGCTGTGACCCCTGTTGCCTAGCATCCCTCTACTGTTTATCTCCACTGCTGCCAGCCACAGCGCAGAAGGACCTGAGGTTCCATCTGCCACCTGAGCTTCACTGATAGTCCAAGACACAGGCAAGATTGGTACTCAATCCCCACTCCACCACGGACCAGCTGGCCAACTCTAGGCAATCTAGTTAACCTCTTCGAGTCTCCACCTATTGCTCAATAATGGTGCCTTGCACGGCTGCTGTATAAACTATGTTAATCCACAATCATCTCCCGTGGGCTCTTGCTGTCTCCAAGGATTGCTAGTGACCCCCAGGAATAAAGCCAAGGGTGGGGAATTCAAGCCCTCCCTGTCAGATCCCCACCTCCCTTCTCCTTCATGTTCCAGTGACACACTTCACTTGCGCTCAGGTTCCTGCCCTCCCTCTCCCCGCCCCCCAACATCGGAATGTACTCTCCAAGCGCCCCAGCCTGGGGATCTTCTAGCGGGATACTACCGGGATACAGCTCCAGTCGGTCTGAGGTAGGAGCCCCCTGCCGGAGGACAGCAACCCTGCCTGGAGCATCCCTTTGTGCTCTGGTTCCAGAGCAACCCAGCGTAAATTCCAGAATTTTGTATCTCCCAACCCTCGTCCCGAAACGGCAGCCCCCACGGACCTCTGCCACCAGAATCCACATCCTGGTCACAGCATCCACTCCCCCCCCGCCCCCGAAAGGATCCCTTCTAGTACAGCAGCCAGAAGAAGATGGTACAGCCAGCTGGGAAAGAAGCGAGCGCGTTCTGATGCCTTTCATACCCAGACACCTGGTTTGGGTTCCACCTACCTAAGTAGCCTGGATTCATCCAATTTAGGTTGGAGGCGCTTCTCTGCGGCACAACTTTCCCTCCCCGAGCCTCAGTTTAATCCTCTGTAAAGTGGGTATATTAGTACCTGGGTCCTGGGAATTCAGGAGGATTTGAAAGATAGTGGATGCCCGCAGCTTGGCACGGAGATCGCACCTCCACCCAGGGGCTGGGTTCACCGTTTGCATCAAAGTCAGACCCCGAGGAAGCTCGGGGGGCCCCAGAAGCGGCCCTCTGGCCCAGGAGTCGAGAGGCCCACGTGGATCGGCGCGCCTGGCCCAAGCCGGAGGAAGCCACAGGTGTTTGTGCGTCCGGGCGCAGTAGCCACAGCTCCGCCATCCTACCCAGGCCGCCGGCGTCGCCAAGGCACCCGGCGCGCCCACCTCGTGCGGCCACCTGCGGGGTGTCCCCGCCGCCCTGCGGGGGCGAGGACCTCAGAGCCCGGTCTGAGCGCATCCTCGCCCGCCGCCCGGTTCCCGCCCCTGCCCGCGCCGCGCTCCGACTCACCCGCGCCGGCTCCGGGGAAAGTTTGGCCGCGGCTGCCAGGCTGCTCGGTGCGGTTGGCGGAGGCCTCGGGGGTGGCGGGAGCACGCGGAGGCGGGCGCGGGGGAGGAGCCGCCGAGGGGCCCGCCCACCACCAGCCCCAGGGCACCCTCCCTTGCCCGGCTTCCACCGCCGCGCCCCGGGTCCATGGCCGAGCGCTGCTCTGGGCAAGAGGCCAGGGATGAGTCGGAAGCCTGGTGATGGCACTGCTACCTGCACGCGCACCCGAGCGCACGCAGAGCCACAGACCAGACTCAGATGCGGAGGAGCAGACAGGATGCTCCACAAATTCAACCACAAGTGGACGGAGGAAGACACTAGAGGGATCAGTTTAAAAAAAAAAAAAAAAAAAAAAAGTGTAGCCGGGAGGTGGTGGTGGCGCACGCCTTTAATCTCAGCACTCAGGAGGCAAAGGCAGGCAGATCTCTGTGAGTTCGAGGCCAGCCTGGTCTACAGAGTGAGTTCCAGTACAGCCAAGACTGCACAGAGAAACCCTGTTATGGGGAGAAAAAAAAAGTGTAACAGTGAGACTCCCGAGGTTTAAAACCACGCACCCTTCTGTTTCTCTCTAGGCCCTGAAGAATGAGGTCTGTCTGCCCCCCTCCTTCCCTTCCCCCTCTCTCCTCAACCTGCAAGTGCAGAGCTGGAATCCAGAGCCTTGCTCTGAGCTACTCAAGCGAGTTCAACTTTCACTGTACCATCTCACTTAGGAAGAGGGGATGGACGTGTGTGTGTGTGTGTGTGTGTGTGTGTGTGTGTGTGTGTGTGTGTGTGTGTGCGCGCGCGCGCGCAGGTCTCCAGTGTGGAACTTGTACTGTTTTCATTTTCTGAGCTGGGAGAGGGCATTTTTCCTTTCTTTGTCCGCCTCAGGAAAGCCGGTTTAATGTACAGTAATGACTTCAGATGGGAACGCTCAGCAACCGGAGGGCAGCCGAGGGAGGGAAGAGACTCCTCCTTGCTATGACAGCCTGCCTCCTAGAAGGGGCTCATCCTCCTGTAGTAGTGAGTGCTCATGGGAATGCAGGCTCAGCATTCCCCAGGGGGCTCATTTCCACAGACCTGCACGGTAGCCTTAGCCCCGTTTCTGTCCTGTGGGCCCATCTCTGTTCCCAGCACTACAGGTGTGCCTTGTTTAAACCTCACACCACATGAGAGGAAAGGAACAGTCATCATCCCTGTTTACAGACAAGGAAACGGAGGCCTAGAGTGGCTCTGTAGCATCTCCGGGGTCACAGAGAGAACTGCACTTCTATCCCACCCAGCCTGAGCCCAAGGGCCAAGGCCAAGCCAATCTTCATCTCAGTGGGGCTACTGGCAAGTTCGGTGATGTCATCTACACGCAAGGCTTACTTGGTACAAACCTCACTGTAGCCCTAGCCCCTGAGCCTGTCTGTGCCTGTCTGCAAAGTGGGGGCTCCAGATTCGTTAGAAATGCCATTAGGAACCCAGAGACATGTGACTGAATTCAGGACAGCTGTTGGGCCTGGGTACCAACCCTGCCTGACTGGTGTGATTCAGAGAAAAGAGTTCCCCTCTCTGACCTGTACCTTAGAAGACCCAGGAGCGCAGGAATCCACAGCAAGTTCCTCCCACTTCCAGGCTACTCTCGGGCCTTGGTATTTACACTTTGTGGGACTAATGCACCCTTTGGAACTGAGTGAGCGACTATGTTGCACCTGTTATAAACTGTAAGGCAAGATATTTCCTCCCCACAGCTGTAGGGAGTGCAGAAGTCAGGGGGAGCCTCGGAAATGGTGGGGTTCCTGTCATCTCTCTGCTTTCTGAAAGTCAGCAAAGGCCTGATAACTTGGAATTCTCTCAAGGAGGTTTCACTTCCTAAGGCCTACTTAGGCCTGCTCTACACAGGGGCAATTTTAGGAAAATCAGCATTTTAGAAACAATGTGTTAAGACGTTATTTGAAGCCTCTGGTGATTTTTTTTTTTAATCTTTGCTGTGGCATTTGTGACTGACAGATCACATTGTAACCTGGGCCGTGTCTGTCTAGGGTCAACCACCTAGCAAGAGGCAGGTCGCAGGTGAAAAACTAAGGCTAGCCCTCCTGTCCTCTGTCCTGTGGAGACTTTGGCCTGAGAGCTTTGCTTGGTTAATGGGCCTATTTCTCACAGCAGTTCTAGGAGGCGGCTCTGTCTTCATCTGAGGGCTCAGGATGATGCACACACCTGTAGTCACACACTTGGGAGGTAGAGGGAGCAGGGGTTTGAGTTTAAGGCAACCTAGACCACACAGTGAGATCTTCGTTTTTTTGTTTCATTGGTTGGTTGGTTGGTTGGTTGGTTGGTTGGTTGGTTGGTTGGTTGATTTTCAAGACAGGGTTTCTTTGTACTGGCTCTTAGACCAGGCTGGCCTCAAACTCACAGAGATCCCTATCTCTGCCTCTCGAGTGCTGGGATTAAAGGCGTGCGCCACCATTGCCGGAGAGATTTTGTTTTTTTTAAAGTTCAGTTGGCTATTAAGTCCTTCCAAGACCAGAGAGGAAGTCCTAAGCCAGATCTGGAACCTGAGTGGCTCTGGCTTCTGTACTTTGTGGAAGAAAGTGAGAGAAGGGAAACTGAGTCCCAGAGTAGCAGTTGGAGGGAGGGAAGGGAGAGTCCATTAAGCATCCCTCCTGTGTCACTGGCCACCTCTGCATTTACTTTGCATCTTAGGGCCTCAGTTTCCCTACCTGTAGGTAAAATGAGAACAATTCCCAGGTCGTAGACAGAATTTGGGTGACAATTCTTTTTGCTGCAGGCAACAGTAGCCAGTAATAATAACTCCCCCGCTGGCCTGGCCTGAACCACATACCCAGCTCTGAAATTACAACAGTTGTTCTGATTGGCCAAGCCTGAGTCACAGGCCGATGGCTGGTCTGGGGTGGGATCAGTCACTCTTTAGCCACTGGGGTCGAGAAGAGGGCAAGGGCTGAGTCCCCAGACTCAGGTGTGATGAGAGACGAGAGGAATCTGGAAGTTGCAGGTGTCCCCTCCCTCCAGAACCGTTGCTGGGATCTAGTCATGTGTGTGTGTGGAGGCCAGAGCAGCACTTGGCTCTGGTGGGTGCTCAGTAACCGAGTCTCCTCCCTTCCTTCCTCTTCTGGAAAGCAGGAACTGTAGCTCACCAAAGCCAAGCCAACTTCTTCCTGTTCACGTAGGGAAACTGAGGAAGATCCACAGCCGAGAAGGGACTTGTCCAAGGTGCAGTTTGTCAGCCACCAAACCGTGTCTGACTGGGGAACAAATCCCAGGGGAGTCAGCTGGAATCAGCTGGCATCTACTGATGAGGAGGGAGATGGCTGCCTGCTGCATAGACGAGACTGGAAACTCTCGAAGCCTTCCCAACCCAGAGGAAGTGAGTGCCACTTACGTTGGGCTGTCAAGTCATGCTACAAGCTGTAGACAATGCGTAGGTCTGGGCAGAGTGCCCATTCAGCTCCCCACCCATTGCAGCTGAAGTCAGCCAGTTCCTCAAGGACAGCGCACTCTGGGTGCTAAGAGATCCCCAAGGTTGTTTTTATGAAACTGCCCCCAAAGCCACCAAAGACAAGATGGCTCTTTGCTGAGTTCTTTCCTGCTTGGGTTGAGAGAGCAAATGCATGCTCTGGGACCAGAGTGGAGAGGGGGCAGGCTGCCCTTTAATCACCAAAGCCAGCCTTTCGGTTGGCTCTCGGCCAGATCCAAGTTCCTGGTCTCAGACGGTGTCATAGTTTGGATCTGGACAGTCCTCAAGGGCTCATGTGTTCAAGCCTTGGTCCCCAGCTGGTGACATTTTGGGGGAGGAGCCAGGGGGTGGGGCCTAGTGGGAGGAAGCAGGCCACCGGGAACATGATCAGATAGTTGTATTTTAGCCTCTGCTCCTTCTTTATCTCTCCCTCTCTCTTGGCTTTCTGGTCACCATGATAGAAGTAGCCTCTGCCTCCCCCATGAACTTCTGTTGCCGTAGCTTCTGCTCCAAATAATGGAGCAAACCTCGGAAGCTGTAAGTTAGAACAACCTTCTCATCACAAAGGCTGATTTTCTCAGGTGTTCAGTCACAGTGATGGAAAGCTAACTAATGCTGAAAGTCTGATTCTTCCATTTCAAAGTTGGCTAGATACACAGCGTGAAGTAAGTCTGTCTGTCTGTCTGTCTCTCTGGGGGGGGGAGAGAGAGAGAGAGAGAGAGAGAGAGAAAGAGAGAGAGAGAGGGATCTGAAGGTGCTGGGGATGAACCCAGGTCCTTGGACATGAATGGCAGGTACCACATTGGGATGACTAGGCGTCTCCCCTCTCTTCCGTCCTAAGCGCACAGTTTTGGTGCGAACTCTGTGACGGGAGGTAAGGGAGAAGGTTTCATGCAGCGGAGGTCACCAGGAGCAGGGCCCAGGGCTGGGGGAAAACATAGACTGTGGTGTTGAGCTGCCTGCACCCAGATCCCAGCAGGACCCTGGGAAAGCACGGGGCCACTCTGCACATAAGCCTCTCCATCCCCAGATGAAGACGATGGCTCCAGGCTCGCTGCAAGTAGAAATGGTTATGTGAAGTCAGTTCCACAGGACGGAATGGCTTTGCACAACGTGAGGGCTCTGTGAACACAGGCTGTTGTGTGCTTACCTAGATGGTGGGGCACATACGCATGATCATTGTCCTGGTGATCTTTGTGCACCATACAACAGGACTTCACACATGTGGGTGCGCGCCCATGTCTCTCCTGCCTTTCTCTGCTTCCCTCAAGGCCCTTACAGTTGGTATAGAATAAAGTTTCCCCAGTCCCTACTCTGCTGGGCCCTGGGGCAGAAGCTGCTGACTCCAGGGAGACTCAGACTCTGCTTACATCTGACCCACAGTCCAAAGCCTTAGGTGAGCCAAAGTGGCAGCTTAGTTTAGGGGAAGCCGTCCCAGGCCTGCAGAGACCCCATCACTCGCTAAGAGACTGATCTCAGGCAGCTAATTCTAAGGGAAAAGTA